GATGATACTACTCGGCACACCAATGTACATGTCAATGTAGTTTTTACTTTTTCAGAGCTGCACTATTTACGTCTTGATGCTTACTTCGGTGCTAGTGTTGTGTCCGTGTGTTGCTACAATGTCATTATCTGTATTGTATTCCGTCTGCTTATACATGTGTCTTTATGAAGTGTTTGCCATGGCGGCGATGTGTCTTGTCGATCAATAGTGTTGTGAAACCTATCACTATTCATGCTTTGCTGGCTACTTGCTCGCTCCGCGCCGTGCACGCTACTAGGTCTTGTAGTATATAGCTCGATGCTTTGCATCGATCGCTGGTTGTTGTTGTTCTTGTTGCTTCTCTGTTGTTTGAGCTTGGTCATAGAGTGAAGCTTTGGTCTTCTTGTGTGGTGAGGGTGAGGAATGGGTATCTGGACTCCTGGTATATTTCCGTAAAGAACCTGGAATTGTAGAATCCTGAGAGTATGTCTGGCCCACTCCCCCGGTCATGACATTAGCGTGTTTCCCCCGGATTATTTCTATCATCCTGCGTGTTCTTTGGCTGAGCGAGCACATGCACGAGTCTGCAGCTATAACCCTGTGTATCTTTGGTTACACTTTGTTCTGCAATGCATGTACCTTGTAACAGTCTGTGCTTGCACTGCTTTGTGTGGCCTGCGTATTTCAAGACTATTCAGTGCACCAGACCCAGGTTGGTTTGGTTGCCGGATGATCTCTTGTTGCGTCGCTCTGTGTTTTGTATTAATCAATTTTTGGGCTTGAGAATTGAGCTGGTGTGTGGTTCCCAATATGAAAACATCATGCTGGTGCTCTGTGTTTCGATTATCGACTGTCCGAGCAGTCACGATTCATTACCAGAACGGTCAATACTGTAGTCTCTTCACGTGTTTGTGTTTTCGCCGGGGGAATTAGCGGTGACGTTGCACATAGAACGGCAGTGTTGCATCACTGGACGACCCTGCCTTTGCATCTGACTTCATTTCCCCAGGATCTGGTGCAGATACATCAGACAGTCACTTCCTGTAAACACGCAAACAGCAAAAGAAGAGATCCCGCAAATCAGGAAAAACCATTGCGGAAAATATCGAGTAGATCATACACCATTCAATAATCTGGAGTAATTACAGTGAGACAAACACTTCAAACAGTGCTCTCTCTTTCTCTCTCTCTCTCTCCATCCTTCCAAAATACCCTGTAACAATTCCCTGGAATTATTTTATTTTATATTCTCAGGACATCATTCTGAACAACTTCTTCCATGGGTCTTCAATCACCACGGAGGGCGAGAATACAGCTAAGTCATGCAGTCTACGGGAGGTGCGGGCTGTCATGGATATAGAGGCTGATATTGTGCCAGCGTGAGGGCAGAGACAGAAAGAAGACACTGATTTCTTGAACAACTCACCTACATATAATCGAATCCACAGGGAACGCTCGTACTTTGATCCATCAGGAGGCGAAGAATCTTCAAAGCACTCTCAAACACGGAGTTTTACAGTGGGCAGCCAATTTCACAGCCATTATGAAGGCCCTCGACGACTACAGGAGATTTGTAGAGGAAAGAACAAGGAGTAAAGAGCGACAACAATCGCTTGACGAAAAAGCAAAGAAAAACTGTTCTCTCTCCAGTCATTTAGATGCTGTTGCCCTTCACAACTGGTTCCATCCAGAGGACGCGACTTTTGTTTGTCCCCAGTGCTCTCCGTTGCTATGCGTATCGAAGGGGCCGTGACGTCACACTTAACAGCCCCATTCCGCCACCTTCAGCAGTTGAAGATTGCAGCCCTTCGTCGCCATCAGAGCTACCTTGCCACGGTACGCCTGACGCCGGAAGCCAGGACGGAGCTGACGTGGTGGGCAGCAGATCTAGAAACTTGGAACGGTCGCTCGATTCTCAAACCTCCCGCTCAGCTCACCATATTCTCCGATGCGTCCCTGCTCGGCTGGGGAGCGGTGTGCGGCACAACGAGTACTGGGGGTCAATGGTCCCCTACCGAGGCCAATCTCCACATCAATGCTCTGGAATTGATCGCTGCCTCATTCGCGGTGAAAGCCTTTCATCACCGGGCCTCTTACCGTCCTCTGCACATCAAGTTGTTGATCGACAACACGACAGCCGTCAGCTACATCAACCGCTTAGGCGGCACGCATTCCCGTCTCCTGTCCCAGATCGCTTGCGACCTCTGGAGATGGGCGGTCCAACACGATATCCGCCTCCAGGCGGAATATGTGCCGAGCGAGGAGAACCCAGCGGACCATCCTTCTCGGGGCTCCCTCTCCGAGTCCGGCGACTGGCGCCTGGACCCTGCTCTGTTTCGCAGGATTCAGAGGGCAGCTCCTTGGACCTTGGTGCTAGATCTGTTCGCATCTCGACTGAACACGCAACTTCCCGCCTTCTATGCTTGGAGGCCGGATCCGGAGGCTCTCGCTCTAGATGCGTTCTCTCAGAATTGGAGTCTCCCTCATCAGGACGCGGTGTATGCCTTCCCACCATTCTGCCTACTGGACAGGGTGCTTCATCGTGTGGCCTCACTCCATACTTGCCGGATGATACTGGTCGCACCAGTATGGGATACGCAGCCATGGTACGCGACTTTGCTGCAGCTGTTGGTCGATTTCCCCATGCTTCTGCCCACATTCGACTGCCTGCTACTCTCACCCTCGGGCCATCCACACCCACTGGTACTATCCCGCCACCTGCGCCTCGCCGCATGGCCTATCTCCAGCAGCGCTTCAATGCACCAGGACTTTCTCCACAGGTCGTGCGACTCCTCTCCTCCTCTTGGCGGTCATCAACCAATGCCGCTTACGCATCGGCATGGGAGCAGTGGCTGGGCTGGTGCAGTCAACGGTCAGTGGATCCCGTTCGCCCATCTTTAGCTATGGTGCTCCAGTTCCTGGCCGATTCCTTTGAGGACGGCCGCAGCTACAGTACCCTGAATGTCTATCGGTCAGCGATGTCTGCTACCCTGCCTGAGCTGGATGGTGCACCCATTGGCCAGCACCCGTTGGTGGTGCGTTTGCTCCGTGGTATCTGCCTAGAGCGTCCGCCGCAGCCGCGGTACTCACATACTTGGGATGTGGGTATTGTCACTTCTTGGCTCTCTAAACTGCCTGCCAACACGGACCTGTCTCTCCCTGTCTTGTCTGGCAAGTTGGCCATTCTGATGGCCTTGACTGCTGCTCGGCGCTCTTCGGACCTCCACCGGCTAAGCCTCAACTCTCATCGTTTCTCTGCCGAGGGCGTGGTATTTGACTATCTCACACCCCCTAAGCAGCATCGCCCTGGTTCGGAACCAGCCCGACCTGTCACCTTTGCTGCCTTTCCTGTGACTCCTGCACTCTGTGTTGTGGAGTGCTTCAGGGAGTACTTGCGTCGGACCGCCGACCTGCGACAGGCATCTTCTGCACATCTGTTCCTCAGCACGAAGCGTCCGCACCACCCTGTCACCTCTGCAACGATTGCTCGTTGGATCAAGCAGGTTATGTCCAAGGCTGGTGTGGATACATCATTGTTTGGTGCCCATTCCACTCGTGCCGCTTCTACGTCTGCTGCGAAGCGTAAAGGTATGTCGACAGTGGACATCATGAAATGTGCTGACTGGAGTTGCGCATCCGTGTTCCAGCGCTTCTATTTCAAGCCATGGGAGGGTGAGACCAGCGGCTCTTCCCCATCGGCACATCAGCAGTTCTGCCGCTCTGTGCTTGCGCCGTAGCGCTACCAATGTTGGCCTGGCCAGGTTCTGAGTCTGTGACTTTGTGTCTACCTCAGTAATCCGATTGCTGTCTGTGCCTGGCTTTCTCAATGCCGTTCTATCTGTGCATGTGTATAGTACACGGCTTTCCTCATTTATTGTTCCTTTTGCCATTACGCCTGTGTCCTTGTTCTGGACAGGCCTTTTGTCACTTTCTGCGGCAAGTTTCCGTGGCACCGGTTTACCCTGTTCCTTACTGATTTGGTGGTGTGCATGGTGTGCTGCATGCCCGGTTGGGGGTTTTCATGGCCTGCGTTGGTCCCTCTCTCCGGTCTTGTGGTGTTCGCTTCACCTCTGATTTGAGCGTTGAAATCTACAGTGTTACATGGAGCGGAGCCTCTGATGTGCAATTGACGATTATACAAGGAACTCTGTTCTGATGTATAATCATAATTGCATGAAGAGGTGAAGCGAAATGTAACACTGTAGTCCCTCCCGCCCATCCCATTTACTTATGCACCGGGGAGTGCCCATGGGCTTTATCTTGGCCATTGACGCGTTCAAACAAGGCCGAGGAAGGACTGGCCGAGCATGCGTGTTATGGTGTAGGAACGAAAAAAAAAAAAAAAAAAAAAGCTTTGAAAACTGGTTATTTATGCAGTAAAAATGTAGGGCCACTACAGTGTTACATTTCGCTTCACCTCTTCATGCAATTATGATTATACATCAGAACAGAGTTCCTTGTATAATCGTCAATTCATCCCGGAAAAAGGCGGTGCGGTGTACCTATACTCCAGTGTAGGCTGTACTCTGGAAAATACGGTAATGTGTTTATGTATGGGCACGCGTCCGCCGAGCTCACAGCCATACGACACCGACGGCGGATATACGGCCCGAGTGCTGTGCACGTGATCAACAACAAGAATGCTGTACACTGCGCCAGTACCACGGCTGGTTGGCAAGGAAACGCGGCACAGGTCAGCGTACGTTGTCGGCAAGAGAACCACCTTGGTTCCGTGACGCAACACAGAACTCCGCGTGCTCATCTTAATCAAGCCGTCGAACATCGCCGATTCACTGAAGTCAAGAAAGGCCAGCTCGTAGCGGTACAGGTAATAGCGCAAACGGCTATCAAGTGCCATCAAGCGCTCATAGCACGGAGGAGCTGCTTTATGCAATATTACTTATAATATTGGCTCAACATCCGAGTTATAATTATTGATGAGATTGGATTTCTCTGGCTGCCAGAGCTGTACATCAAACTGTGTGGTTGTACTTGTATCACTTGTCTGAAATGTTACTCACAGCTGCCCTGGCCTGCGCTGTACAGTCGCCGCCAAAGTTTAGAACATCGCCGCATGGACCCCAGACATAGACGTTGTCCTCCAACCCTTCCTTCGGCGTGGAGAACCTGAGAGCGAGGAAAGAAAAAGAGCAACGTGCTCATACGTAATGATAACGGCCGGTGGGTGTCGTTGAGGATTACAATCTAGTACAAATGCACACCGCTCACCAGTTTCTAACTTTCCACAGTCGTCGCCAAAAAGTCCGGCCCAGTGCGGTATGGTACATGGTATGCATACCCAGCAACTGTGCATATACTGGTGCCCTGCATACAGTGCAGTGCCAGGGCCGGAGGCAGCTTCCGCAGAGCAGTGCGGCCGAAGGGCCAAGTTTAAGGGGGGGGGGGGTGTGGGGGTCCCCCCAGAAAGAATTTGGAATTTAGACGGCAAATTCTGCACTCTGGGCGACTCCCTGTACAAAATCATACATCGAAACCTTTTCTCCTCGGTTTTGGACGTTCCACATGGACCGACTTTTTTTCTTTTTTCTTTTTTCGGTACGGCCATGGCCGTACTGGCCGTACCAGTGGCGCCGGCCCTGAGTGCTTGTACAGTCAGTGGATCTACACAAGAGGTGCGACTGCGAGCAACAGCATGATGACAAGAAAACCGAGCACACCGGAAGAGGAAAGCATGCTACCATGTACGCTACGCTACACATGGCACTGTGTACAATATCACTGCCACATCGGCATTGGCCGGATTGTTTCGCTGACGACTGTAGTTTCTACCATTCTCGGCTTACTATCGACATGGTGTCACTGTGTTCGCCGGGCCGCATGCAGGCATACACTTGAATATGTGCTCTGCATACATACTACAATGCATACAGTGGAGAGGATTGCACGATCCCACAGCCAAGAAGCCGTCACCGATCCCATGACATATGCACTGATTGTCCAACACTGAACGTGGCCTGGCACGACCTGATAGCACTGCGGCCCCTATGGCCATATGGTGGCACTTGCTTTACATGTTGCGGCAAGAGTATACATGTATAACCTCCTGGGGCTTATAAAACATACCTTTGATTGCGGTCATAATGACGGATATGCTGTTTGGTCGTATGTCACAGCCTGTATTAGCCACTGCGTACAACTACAAGGGTTATCAGGCACAGTCGTGGCCAAAGAGATCCGTCCCACGTGCCGAAAGCAGCGCCAAGGCTCGTCGTATACACAAACTGCGGCTCTCGGATGGGTTGCAGATGATGTAATGGAATGGAAGTGCGGCTCTACGTTTTGACTCGTGGGCTGGATTTCTTTTTTCCACAACTGTATTTGGAACCAGGGACATTGCGAGCAGGAAATTTTGGACAGAAGTTGGAACTACCGTGCTTAGAAATACCCCCCCCCCCCCCCAGCCCACACCGGACAAGGCAGATACATGTACATGTGTCAGGGGCGTTGGGAGGCATTCTACATTGGTACGACCATGAAAGGGTGGGAGGTCCTAGGCGCCCTCCTAGGGAATATTTTAGGAAAATTGGGCCCAAATAGCCCATAATTATTTCATTGCTTCAGAAATCACAGGATGAAATTATTATTGGTGCGGCTTTCGCCGCACCTGCCGCACCGGTTCCTATGCCTCTGTATATAAGTTACTACGACCGGTATTTTTGCTGTGGTATGAATGGTGTCCAATCACATATCCCGCAGGGGCCGGAAAGCATTACCGTATTTTCCGGAGTATAGTGCGCACTTTAGATGTGTTATTTTAGGCCCTAAATGGCAGGTGTGCACTATGCTCCGAATATGAAATGCATGTACTTCAATGCAGATTGAAGTGCGCACCCCCAATGAAGACTGGGGGTGCGCGTTATACAAAGGTGCGCACTATACTCCGAAAAATACTGTGTTTTAAAACCCATTCGGATGATTCCAACAGAACCACTGATGTGCTACCATTCAGCATTGCATAAACACCAGGTCACATGTTACTATGTGCAGTAAGTGTATCTGAGTCAGTGAGTGTATTTGACCTCTACATAGCTAGTAGATGACATTGTACTCTTACATATTCCTGAGAGGAGTGAGGTCCAGGCCCAGCTTCGGGTCGCTGCTCAGCCTGCACTTGCACGCACCTTGCTGGTACTGGTCGTCATAGCGCACACATTCCTCACACCTGCTCGGCCAGGGGCACACAGACACGCAGACCAGCATTGCAAGCCAGACCCATCGCGTGCCATGCGCTAGCGCTTGCAGCAGGGAGGCCATTGCGACTGCTGGTAGTGGTAGCGACGATAGGCTAGCTCCCTGGCAGGACCTCCAACAAAATGAAGGGAATGGATAGAAAATTCTCAACTGTGTTTACTTTTCAAGGACAAGTGATCATGGAACAGGTGGAGTACTCCAAATATCCACCCAGCTGGTGTTGTTCCCGCACCGCGCGATCCACCAAGCGCCGTATGGTACCGATATCGTGGATGTGCGCTGTGCGGTTGGACACAAACGAGCGTGATCACGTGCACGAACCCGGTACGCGGGCCAGCAGGAGGCATGCAGGCCCGGCAGGGGATTTCCCAAATCCAAAAGCAGCCATGTGCCAGACACGCATCGTCGCTCAAGTCATGGAGTCCTGGTATACAGCTCAATCACTGGTCTTATTCTCTTGTGTGCGACACCATTCATTATAAAACAAGCAGGGACACGGCTGGGACAAGAACTCTGTACAGACTTGTGCCTCATTCATGCTCAGCAGCTCACAACACGGCAAGACACCAACAAGTAAATGGAATCTGTCCACAATGTAGTTACTATACATCGTTCAAGTCGGATAATCTCAAATACTGGGAAATATTATTGGGAAGCTTAGGCAAGGCGAAGCTGTAGAAACGGAAGAAGACCATTCCGGCAATGGGCGTATAATCAAATGCATGCAACCTGAAATAACATTATTAATTTTCTACTTGTACAATCAACAAACTCAGTGGGGTAGGTAATTTGAGACACATGTATTTTATTAAAATACAATTCTATTGTTTAAGGAAACCAGGCGTGAATTCGATAGGTTTCCGACATGGAAGGAACAGAAAGGGAGTTTCAAAGCTGAAAACGATACGGAAAATAGAGTCGTCAGTCCCACAAGATGAGGAGCATCAGATTCTAGAAGGTGCTTTGCGGACGATTATCATGATCATCGGTCCGTAAGTGTGCACACTGGGAAGTTGGGAGTCTTAAAGTTTCTCAGCTGAGGATATACCGGTTGGAAGCTAGCAGGGGAGAGAGAGGATACATAACAACCCAGTGCAGGGTGCTGCTGCTGTTGGTGTTCGTCTCAAGGATCTATTTATATGCTGGGCATACTGGTAGAGATGATACCTGGAAGCAGTTATCCAAGTACATGTAGGTCGATGCTCTGAGCACGGGTCCACTGTAGCTAACATTAAACAACACGCGTTTGCAGTGTGCACACAAGTTGTGCCACAACCCAGTACAGTTCTTTCCACTAACATTGCCTCCACCAGCACCAGCAATCCGGACGCCACAGTCATACACACGTTGACTGCATGCTGCTCCCAGCAGGCAGTCACGCGCAGCTATCAGTCTGCTGACGTTGTCGGCAACACACCAGCTGCACTGTGGGGGTGGACTTCCAGTCATTCTACGCCATACACATCAAGTTCACTGCTGTGAGCTGCAGCCGGAAGAGACTGCGGATCAGGACTACAGCTTTGACATGTCTTTAGTATGAATAGCACCCTGTTGCGATAGCTCGCTGATCTCCTGGACACACGAGAAAGCAGAGAAAAGAGCGGTGAGAAGCGGAACACCTCACAAAAAATGTCACGGTTCGCGTGAGACTTGGTTTTCCACATCCGTAGGAATGCCACCGCCCTCTAGGACCCAATACCTCGCAAGCAAGAACACAATATGGCTTGGAATGTTACAGGACTGGAATGATGCGCGAAGACTCCACATGCAGCTCTCTATAATAGTATGTCAAATAGCCGTCAAAACACACCGAAGACGGTAAGCTACAGGAATATTGCCTTAACAAGCAATGTGTAAACGGCTAGATGGACTGGTCATAGCCTTCCCATTCAAACACCACTGTAAAACATGTAATTTTCGGTGTAACTTTAATTTCGGTGGTTTCGGTACAGAAACCAGGCACCTAAATTTAAATTACACCTAAACGGTACTACAATATGCACTGTATGTGAAGGGAACGCTGGTCACCTAATTCTACATTACACCTGAAACCTGGCAGGTCCCTGGCACCGGAATTTCAATGCACCTAAAATTACATGTTTTACAGTATGTCTGAGCTCCCAGACTGTGCATTGGAGAGCAGTGGCGGTGTATGAATCCAACAGCGCACATGGCCCTACCAACAAAACCTGAGGGAATGGATACGTTGCAAAAGAAGTCTGCCACCTCACCACCAGCTATACTGCCTACTGAAAAGACAAGTTCAGAGAGGAGGCCCTGCGACCTGAATCAGTTACACCAGACAACAACAGTTACTGTGGTTCCATTGTTATTTATTTTGTTAGCGCCTCTTCCAAGTACAATCGCTCAGCATTTAGTACTAACCCGCCGAGAGAACCCAGACTCTGTCAACACCTCCTCCGTGTGTTCGCCCACCATTGGCTGTCGACCATGAGCTGCAGCCGCACAACCAAGGCAACAAAACATGTAGAGAGACGGCGAAGAGACAACAATTTTATGACCGCGATCATCAATAGGATACGCTGAATCGACATGTACACTTTATTCGTGCAATATCAAAATGTGGAAACTCAGTGCAATAACAACAACAACGAAAGTCTCTCCACCATTGCTTCTTTTTTTTCACTGTGCAAATTGATCTGAGCTCGTAGGTCGCAAACAATAACTGGTGTAAACCTTTCTCGGTGTACAGTAGACTTCTGCGGAGTGCAGGATTTCTTTCGCTTTCTCTGCCGCTGGGCATATGAAAACCTCATCCCAAAATATATCACGCAGTCTTTCCTTACCTGGTTTAGCTGCACTGCGGGATAGCACAGGTGCCGGGGCTGGACACACACACACACACACACACACACACACACACACACACACACACACACACACACGCACGCACACACATACGCACACACACACACACACACACACACACACACACACACACACACACACACACACACACACACACACACACACACACACACACACACACACACACACACACACACACACACACACACACACACACACACACACACACACACACACACACACACACACACACACACACACACACACACACACACACACACACACACACACACACACACACACACACACACACACACACACACACACACACACACACACACACACACACACACACACACACACACACACACACACACACACACACACACACACACACACACACACACACACACACACACACACACACACACACACACACACACACACACACACACACACACACACACACACACACACACACACACACACACACACACACACACACACACACACACACACACACACACACACACACACACACACACACACACACACACACACACACACACACACACACACACACACACACACACACACACACACACACACACACACACACACACACACACACACACACACACACACACACACACACACACACACACACACACACACACACACACACACACACACACACACACACAGTCAATAGAAGCTATGAAAATGACAGCATCGCATATACTTCAACCCAAGGGTTGTGAGGCCACTGTTTTGCCACTATAATACAAAGCAAATCAAATGATGGCGGTGCACTAGTAGTTGAATGAAGCCTCTACAAAGGCCTGTACTACTACTAAAGGCCTGTACTACTACTAGTACCTGGCATAGACTCTCCTTCATCATCCGTGAAGTACGTTCCAAGCGCCCTGCAACGCACACCACAAGATGAACATGTACATACAGAAAAATCCGTCAAGGCGAACACCTGTGCCAGAGTGGACCATGTAGTACACCTGTGCCAGAGTGGACCATGTAGTACACGACCGAGTGACAGGGCAAAACTAGGTCAGTCTCTCCGACTCAAAACACAAGTAGTATTCTCAGGGAACAATATTGCACTTAGTGATTGCACGGGAAGAGTCAAGTGACTGTTTATTTCAAGATGACTACGGAAACACAACTAGACAAGACGAACTCAAAACGAAGACTGCTTTTTACACCACAGCAACACGCGCATGCACCAACATGACGTACACACGACGTACACAAAATACCGTAATATATACGGTATGGTAAGTCTATCGATATACGCTACATACAGTATGACACGGTAGAAAGTCCGTCTAGTACAGACCACTACAACCGGGACCAAGGGATGTCAATTGTACTGTTATGAACCTGGATGAGGAGACCACCTGTGCACAGAGACCACCTGTACACAGAGACCACCTGTGCACAGAGACCACTTATGCACAGAGACCACTTGTACACAGAGACCACCTACACAAGGGGACCACATCTTGAAGTTCTCTTGAGCGGTCGGCATAGACAGAATTCACTGTATTATAAACTAAGTCTGACTAAAAGCGTGCGAGAGAGAGAGAGAGAGAGAGAGAGAGAGAGAGAGAGAGAGAGAGAGAGAGAGAGAGAGAGAGAGAGAGAGAGAGAGAGAGATGTACCAGAGGAATCGATGCACAACAAGAGTGTCTATACTTCACTGAAGTAGGGACACACCGATGTTGTTATACTCACAAGTCTGACCCCCCCCCCCATGTACTCACACAGTAACACACACTGTAACGTACACCCCCCCCCCCCCCCCCCACACACACACACATATGCATGGATACTCACTTGTTGTGGGGATGCTCGGCAGCTTCTTCCATGCTAAGCACGGGTGTTACACATGCATCAGTACCTAACACACACACACAGAAGAACAATAGGCAGACAAAGACACGGAGCCTTCGGTCATCCCTACAACGTAATGCTTTCCAAGATTTCAGCCTGCCAGCAAGCATGTTCAGTTTCGTTGTGAGCGCAAGACAACGATTATGAGAACAGAATTGAAATATTTGTTCAGAAAGTGGTGGACATCACGCAACTGCATTGTAAGAATTGAAACATAGGACAGAACTAGGCCAGGTCAAGCTGAACAGTCTCTGAAGATTCCAAACGAACATGCACACATGCACATGTCTACATGTACACACACCTGTCCTATCCTGTCCTGTCCTGTAGAGCCACTACCACTAGGGTCACGTGGGCCCGGAGGGGCAGCAGAGAGAGAGAAAGAGCACGCCACCCGATGGCGCTCCAGACGCGAGACTAGTCGGAACCGGCGAGAGCAGATACACATATGCGGGAACTTGTCCCGTTCTCTGGCCGTTGGTCGGTGGCAGTGCGTTGAACAGCGATGGCGGTTGCGTCCCTGGGTTGAGCGGAAACAACGATTGCAGGTGCCACAGTGAGCATTGCAGCACCTCCGAGCGGTAGTGTCACCGGTGACAACAGCAGCTGGTTCGGTCGGTACTGGGCACGAGGTAGAAGCGGAGCAACGATGCACAGCCAAGCCTCCGCGGCTCCGGAACCAACGATGACACCGAGGGCACTGCCATGCACCTCTCTGCTCCGAAACCGGCTTCTGCCGTTCAGCCGTGCACTTGTGCCTAGCGAGGTCACCCTGACGTGCGAAGTGCCGGGCGCATGTGAAACAAGTCACCGGTGCCGGTACGAGGGGATCCGGGGCGTCCGAGGTGTAAGCCAACCTCCAGTCTGGGCGAGAGTCACAGGCCACTCTGTACCAGTCCGTTTCAAGGTCTCGTGAGCGGAGGTCCTTTACAGCGCAGTCTTTCCACCGCCGACGTGGGCCATGGGCCGGGCGACGAGATGGCAGGGTGCCGAACAGCAACTGTTTGGGCAACCGCACATCGTCCATGCGGGCGACATGGCCTAGCCACTCGAGGCGCCGATGCTGAACCTTGGTGACGATGGTTTCAGAGTCACCCCACCACTCAAGCAGCTGGCTGTTGGATATGTGGTCATCCCAGCAACGATGGCGTGTGATACCCAATATCGACCGCACGCATCGCATGTGGAAAACAGACATGCGACGGAGGTCCTGCTTCAGCGGCGTCCAGCACTCGGAGCCATACAGGAGCAGAGACAGGACACAAGCATTAAACACACAGCGTTTAATATGAAGATCTAAGTTCTTGTTCCGGAAAACAGATTGTTGCAGAGCACCACAAGCCCGGGACGCACTTGCCACCCGAGCGCTGATATCCTGCGAAGATCGGCCGCCACAGTGGATGATACACCCCAGGTACTTGAACTCCGGCACACACTCAATGTCCACACCGGCAAGCTGTATGGGCGCCTGGTCCGCAGCCGTGACGCCAGCTCCCGCAACCAATAACTTGGTTTTGGTCGCGCTCACAGTGAGGCCGAATTCCGAAGCGGTCGAGTTGAACAGGTCCAAGGCAATCTCAGCACCAGCACGCGATGTTGCAAACAGGGAGGAATCGTCCGCGAACTGTGCCTCTAGGGCGGTGGCAGCGGTGTCAGCCCGGCGTGCCTTGCGATATAGTTGACCCTCACCATAGTGGTAGCTGAACTCGAAACCAACGCCAGGAATACCTCTGACCCTCTGTTGCCACTTGGTGACTACTGCCCACATGAAGATGTTGAAGAGGACAGGAGCCATAGTGCAGCCTTGCCGCAAGCCGTTGGTGACGCTAAACGAATCCACGTCTGTGCCACTCACGCGCAATACTGCAGACATCTCATGGTGGAAAGACCGGATTACTGCAAGCATGGGGGGAGGGACACCAGCACGGGAGAGCACCTGCCAGAGGTACTCACGGGGCACACACACACACACACACACACACACACACACACACACACAAACACGCATACACCCACGCACACCCACACCCACCCACACTCCTCTTCTGCATTATTCGCCACCGACAAGGTGGGATCCGAGTCTGGAGTGGTATTTGCCTGGGTTCCCCGATAAAGGTTCTTTCTTCATCGCGCAGCTTACCATCAAAGACTTTGCACCATTCGTCTCGTGTCCGGGAAGCAAACTTCTTGGCAATCGTGTCCTTGACCTGTGGCTACAACAGCAGCAGCAGCAGCAGCAGTAATCACATCAGCGTGTTGTGACAAATACAGGGAACAAGCAATTTTAAAAGGATTTTTTTACAACGGGATAGAGCAATACTGCACCAGGTGCACATCATCAATGACTGGACTTGTCAGTCCCCGCTGCATGCTCTTGCTCACATCGCTCACGACAGAAGTGGATATACTGTATTTTCCGGGGCATTAGCCGCACCGGGGTCTAAGTCGCATCCCCTCCCCCTCCTTTCGGTTCCAAAATTCGTATTTTTGTTGACAATCGGTGTATAAGCTGAATGTCTGATTTTTGAATTTTGGCAACCTAACATAATGGGTATGGGTAATACAAGAAGAAAAACAGAGAGGTTCCCCGCTGTCCAAGAGAGTGCTCAATACCGAGAGCCAGAGTTAGTTCAAACAATAATAAGAGGATGAAAAAAGTGCTTTTACTCTGAGTTTCACGCACTAAGCGATTATCAGAAAACAGGATACAAGAAGTTACCAAAGTCTACAGGCACGACTAAAATTCTACAAAAGTTGCCAAGATTGTCCTTCACTCAGATAAGACGACATGTACACGTAGAAGCTTCGCACTACTACAATCATGGCAATGCTGGATTGCAGTACATGAGAAGAAGTGGAATGATACCATGCATGCCTTTTATACGCATGGGGTGCTGTGCTGCTGGTGGATTCACATCCAGCATTCCACGTCTAAAGCTGTGTTCACAACTGGCGCGTGTACGCGTGAAACCACGCGTTTGTGCGTATTTTTGCTGGCTTTTGGGGCGTCACGCGTACGGAAACGCACCGAAATGGAAATTCCAACATGTTGGAATTTTCAGCGCGTATCAGGCGCGTATTAGCGTACATGCCAGTCACTTTGACTGGCGGAGTCAAAACATTAGTACTCGAAGGTGTCGCACGCGCTAAATACGACTCGGATTGCTCTTTTTTTGTGAAAGCCTGAGCGCGCGTTTGGGCACGCATGAACCGCAAGCGTACCGCGTCCGCGCGCCAGTTGGGAACACAGCTTAAGTTGCAAGAGCGATTTTGATTTTTTTATGTGTTTCAAAGCGCGGCTAACACCCCAGACAATACGGTAGGTCTCGCATGCATGTTTTCGATTTCTCTTGATCGACGGATGTGCGGCCACTCCTGGTTATGGGTTGTACGTACATACACACACAGAGCGATACTACCGACAGCGATGGAAAAGAACCTGGCCACAGTCACCAACCAAGGAACCAGCCTATCACGCGGTCACTGAAAGCAGTTGCTCGCGGGACCAGCAACATTGTGCATTGAGCAGACCGGGGTGATTTCGCGCAGGTTCACCGCGTGGAAGGCTCGACATGCTAGCCGTGTGTAATTGTGAGTCTGTCAGGTGCCAGCCAAGTCAGCAGGAAGTGCGAGCACTACACTGAGAGTAGCCAACTTCTCTGACAATACTGCCGAATATGCCACAACTCGGTTCGTAACACAAAAAGAAAAAATTAAATCGTGATAGATTACAGTCAAGAACTAACCCAGTCGTCCAATGAGACTTGAGGAGGCAGTGATTCCGGATCAATCTCCAAGCCCTTGATCAGCTCTCTGTGAGAGCACAAGAACAAAGCAAGACGTTAACACACACTACGGGGTCATTGCAAACAGGAGAAAACCAGACATACGGTAAAGGAAAACGGCCTGGCAAGGCACAAGGCGAACAATACCAAACTGTATTATCGGAAAATGAAATGCACCAAGAACAGCGTACGACAACTGACGCAGAAAGAGGAGAGAGAGAGAGAGAGAGAGAGAGAGAGAGGGCGAGAGAGAGAGGGCGAGAGAGAGAGAGAGAGAGAGAGAGAGAGAGAGAGAGAGAGAGAGAGAGAGAAAGAGAGAGTAAGTTACATTTATAAAGACAGGTAAGTCTAACAAATGAGGACTGAGACCTCTACAACAGGGTTTTTACGCCTGAAAGCAGGTGCATGATTTAACAAGCAGGTTGTCAGTCTAGATTTTATGCGAGAGAGAGAGAGAGAGAGAGAGAGAGAGAGAGAGAGAGAGAGAGAGAGAGAGAGAGAGGCGAGAGAGAGTGCGAGAGAGAGAGAGAAAGAGAGAGACCCCAATGAGTGAACATGGAAGAACAAAGACACCGCAGTGAAACCACCGGACAAGACTACACAATCTACAGGAATGTCCGGGATAGTTATGTGCAGACAGTTTCTGTTATGCTGAACCGTCAAAAAGGTTATCAACGTTCTGATATGAAGACTGAATACCTCAACAAACAGACAAGAAGCACAAGACACAAACTCCCACAAGCATTCACCCAGTAGATCCCACCACTTGACTTACTTGTAGAATTGGCCCTCAATAGCACCGACCGCCATGTGCTGGCCATCGCTCGTCACAAATCTGCATAGTGTAAGCACAGGAGAGAGAGACACACACAGTAGCACAAGCCATGGTCACCAACGACACTGTCTTTGATCTTCTGCTAGCACATCCCCAGCTGCCCCTTCATAGGGGATTTCAAGATGGTACGCACACAAAGCACGCACACAGCAAGTCGACACACACAACATCATAAACTGGCTTTCAGTATGTTCCTAACCACATTAAAAGG